GGAAAGGGGTTGAAACATCTCAACTTGGTGATACTAAGGTTTTTCAAAAAGGAGTAAGTGAATTCACTTAATCATAAACATCATTCCCAGTATATGACCCTGATTTATTTTTTTTAATTATTTTCACATGCGACTAAAGTTAATGACATGGCCTAGACTGGAGGAAGTACTAGCCTGAAATTCAGCACAAGTCTAGCATGGAACTAGAGCACTGCTGTAAGTCTGAGTAATTTTGTGGAAGTATTACTACTGCTTCTTCCCAAATCCCTGCTAGAATTTCTACATCCTGAGAACTTTGCATCTCCAGGAATTTTATCATCTGCTAGTTTGTTTTAAGAGCTTTAGCACTTCCTGCAGTAAGGAAGAAAATGCATGTTCAGATGAGATACTAGAATTTTTCTATTTTCAGAGAGTCTAAAACTCTGCTCAGCACATCTGTGGAGGCAAGAAACTGTAAGATTTATTGTTACCTAATGAGGCAGCAGCAGCTACAATTTGGATACATGATGGAGAATCCTCTGTACAAATACAGAGCAAGAGAGGACTTTACTGGTTTTAGTCAAGTGGTAAAGAGAGGAAAAAAAGAGAAATAAGTAGCTGCACTGCCTGCACTTATTGCAGGCAAATGAGGAGTGGAATTGGTGACAAACCCCTGCTTTCTGCTCCCAGCTACCTGTCCTAATCAATAGGTCTTGTGATCTCCCATCCCAGAAGAATCACTAGAAAAGGGGAGCAGACAGAGATGAAGCAGAGGCCAATTTAGGAGAAAAACACATATACACGCCTTGTTTAGACTATTTGCTGAAGGAAAGGAGGCTTATAAATCAGTTTTACATGGTTCTGTAAATATTTAAACCTTGTTATTAAGTTTAAGGAAGCAGAGGGAGGTCTCAGCACTTCAACTTTTTAACAGTTTTGTAAAGATTGGTGAGAGAGGTAACTATTTCTCCAGCGAGAAAGAAAGGCTCATCAGCAATTTACCTCTTAATATATGCCAGGTTATTCATGCAACCAGGAGAAAAGATTCTGTTGTAGCTTGCATTGTAGACCACTGAGAATCAAACCAAAAGATAATACAAAAGAAACTGAGACCTACTTGCTTCACTGTTTATAAGAATGTTTATCATGTTAGTTAGAAGAAATTGCAAGAATTCCTTAATCCTCTAAACATGCGCTCACTGCCACGCATTAAGTAACATGCACCAAGCAAATGATAGAGCCTAGCTTTTTAGAAGACTATCACATTTATGTAACAGGTGGGATTTCTTTTAAAAAAACAAGGCCAGAACTGTAACTGGCTCTGGGAGGGGCAAAGAGAATGCCCATTAGGAAAGGAGAATGTGAAGGCTTGAAATAAGTTGGAGTGACAACATAATATTTTGATTATTCAAATAGAAACACCAAGGCCTTTTCAGTCATATTTGAGTAAGTTACATTATACTGAAATCCCAGCACTAGGAAAAATTTGTGCTAAATACTCGTAAGGTCTCAAATAATAAATGTCCAATCTAGCTTCACTGTAAGGTCAAGGTGAGAAGGACTTCAAAAAGAAGAGGGAATGATCCACAACAGCTTCTGTCATCAGAGAAGTTTGTGACAAGTTTAAGGCAAGACAGAGATGGGAATCGAACCTCTCAATACAGTCTTGAATCGGGCTGTATTCTTTTCATCTATCCAGCTATGTGCTTCACACTGTTGAAGTCTTTTTCCTAACCAGACAGATTACAATTTCAGTGCAGTGTTGTAAAAACGGAATTCCACTAGGTACTTTAAACTTGGATTGTATACATGGAATCAGCTGTTCTGGGTTGTTTAGGGTTTTTATCTCCTAGATTTTTCAGAGGCAGAAGTAATGTTTTATTGTGAAAGCTTCTCTAGAATGTTTTATTAATTTAACATTTGGACTCACTGCGCACATTTGCAAAATTATTAATTAGCTTATATGTGAATGGCTAATTAAGTGCTTTAGAAGTTTACACTTAACACAGTCCAGTTGCAGGGATAGCAGTTTCTGTTACTGCTATGTAAATCGTAACTATATTTCAAAGCTATTTCTTAGTATTTGGTGTTTTGAAACACCTTTTTAATTAAGTTATAAACAAGTTCCTACTAAAATAAAATTATTAGTCATTAAAAAAAGAAAGTTCTATAATGTGCAATTTGACTTCTGTGACATACATGGTGGTGGAACTTTTAAATTGCACGATCACAGGTTCATTTTCCATAGGACTTGCACCTTCTTCTGTGCTCCAGTACTCACCTAATGAACTGCAATGCAGCACTTCCTCTGTTCTTTCTGAATACTGTCTCTTTATCTAGCAAAATCTATGCCTCCTTTTTTCTCACTAGGTTTTTACCAAGTCCTGTTGGTAAACCATTTCTCTGTCTCATTCCCATCCTCATAGACTTATCTTTCACTGGGTCTCAAATTTATTCCCTTCCATCAAAACTGAGGCCCAGCTGGTTTTTTTGCTCAGCTTATCCTAGGCTTAGATGTTTTCCCATTCAAGCCCGCATCTCATGAGAGCTTGTCCTCTTCTCTTTTTAGGGGGCTTTTTTCCTTCTATCCTCATGTCACGTGATCTTTTCTTCCATTTGTGCTGAAAGCCAATGGGACACCTGCTTAGCTCTCAGGTTCTTCCTGTGACTTTTCCCTTCAGCTTGTGGAGAAAAGAGTGTAATCAGTCAGTAGAAGGCACAGATGTACATGTAATCGAGTCACAGAAGGGAACCATAGAATTTAAAGCCTGTTCGCCCAGGAACATCAGAAAAATCTCAATCAGGCATGTGCAAACAGGTGTGTGCAGAGGGGTAGGGCAAGCACTTCTGTCAAACTTTCAAGCTAAACACTGGCAATTCTAGGGTTTTTGTTCTGATTGTTTAACATGGAAATCAGAAGGAATTATGCTCTTTTGCTCCACTCTAACATAATACAAAGGAACCAGGGGACAGGGGGAGGGCAGTCACCAACAGCGGCTATTCTATTGTTTTCTCTCAAAAACTTGGCAAAGCAACAAGCTAGACACAGCTGAAATGTGCTGGCTAAAAATTTCTCAAAACTTTCATCTGAGACAGACACAAACCATGCCTAACACCATCACAGAGAAAGTTTGTCAAAGCCATGGATACCTGAAAAAGGGTTGCATACCAGAAAATACTAGTAATCCCTACACATATACAACACTACCAGCATTGCCTACAATTATGATTCACACATTTTTATGCACATGATGTTTTATAAACTAATGATATGCTGAAAAGCATGTTTTGTTTTGGGTCTTTTGTTGTTAGACAGGGTATTTTGAAAAGTAAGCAATTTGATTTTAAAACAAAAATTGTCTCAGTTCAAACATGATTTCCCATGTTAGGGAAATTTGGAGTGTTCTTTGTTCATCAGTTTGCACTTAAGAGTTTCTGGGTTTTTATAATCCTTTCATGACAAACCTCATTTGCCATTTTAAGTTAGAAAGAAATCCTCTTCCTAACAGAGTTCCTTCAATCTATTGTGGTCAAAAAGCAGGTATAGGCCATCGTCTTGAGTAAGATAATGGGTCATGGAAAAGGACCTGGGTGTTCTGGGGGACACCAAATTGAACATGAGGCAGCAATGTGCCCTTGCTGAAAAGGTGAACAGTATCCTGGGCAGCATGCAGCAAAGTCCGGCAGGCAGGTCAAGGGAGGGGATCCCTCCCCTCTGCTCAGCTCTGCTGAGGCCACCCCTGCAGGACTGTGCTGAGTTCTGGGCTCCCTGCTACGGAAGACACAGAAGACACAGAAGACACGAATACGGGAGGGCAATAAAGGGCCACAAGGACAACAAAGGGACAAGAAAGCATCTCTCCTATGAGGAAAGGCTGAGAGAGCTCAGATCATCTAGCCTGGAGAAGCAGCAGCTCAGGTGATCTCATCCACCTGTACGAACACCTGCAGGGAGGAGGCCAAGAGGACAGAGCCAGGCTCTTCGCAGCAGTGCCCAGGGACAGGGCCAGAGGCCAAGGGCACCAACTGACACACAGGAGGTTCCCTCCAAACATCAGGAAACACTGTCACTGTGAGGGTGACCAAGCACTGGCGCAGGCTGCCAGCAGCAGCCACAGGGCCCTAATGCGGCTGGAGGACTGAGGATGTCTGACACGTGGGGACACTGTAAACCGCTCCTCGCAGCTGTGAGTGGCTTTGGGCCAGGCCTGGTTTTAGTTCTTCTTCCCGCAGGGCTTAGCGGCCACGGGAACAACGGTCTCCTTGCCACCGCCGCTGCCAGCCTGAGCCACAGCTCCCTGACACGGTCCTACCCTCTATTCGCGCCGTGGAGTATTTTTAAGCTCCGCTTTACCCGAGAGGCACCCGGGGTGGGCGGGGGGTTGAGGCCTCCCGGAGCGGGAGCGGTCGCGGTCCCGTCCCGGCCGGAGGAGGGGGGTGACGTGCCGCCGCCGCAGAAGCCCATGGCGGGGGCCCCGCCCGCGGCGCCGCGGGGATTCCTCGGGGCGGGGCCTCCGCCCGCGGCCACGGACGCGCCGCTCGTGGCCCCGCCCCTATATAAGGGGCGGCCTCAGCGCGGCCCTGAGCGCGGCCGCCGCCTGTCCCGCAGCCGACCCGCGCACGGGCACCATGGCAGGTCAGTGCGCGCCTGGCACGCGCCGCCGCTCGCGAGGGCCGCGGGAGCGGAGCGGGAGCGGGGCGGCCGCGCCTATTTTTAGGTGGCCGTCCCGGCGGCGAGCGGGCTCCGGGGGAGGGCTGCGGCCGCGGCCGGTGGGGGCAGCGGCTGCCCGCGGGGAGGTCGGAGCCGCCCCGTGCGGGCTGAGGGGACGGGCGCGGTGCAGGCTCGCGCCGCGCCTGCCTCGGTGCCCGGCCCCGGGCTCCGGCCCCGGACGGGGAGGGATGTAGCCAGCGTGGCGGGGAGCAGGACGGGCGAGAGGGGCCACTGTAGGGCCGCAGCGACTCACAGGAGAAAACCCAGCTCCCTCCTGAAACGCCATAGAAAGCGTGCGACTTCGGTGATTTTGATACTTTAAAATGAGTAGTTCTCTACCGCCCCTTTAAGTCCGTCTGGCTTTTTCTTCCGTTTTTTTTCCCCCGATTCTTCCCGTACCTGAAGCTGTCAGCGGAGTAGGTTTCATTTTCAGATCTGGAAGTCTGCAGGAAGTCTGCCTCCCGGTGCATGTCTTGATTAGATGCTCTTGTCTCTCTAGGAATCCCGTAATCAAAAAAAAAAAAATAAAATAAAAAAAAAATCAGATGTACGAGTACCTAACTCAAAGAACAGGGGAAAAGGCAAGCACCTGTAAACTCTGGCTATGCATACGAAAAAGCTTCCGGGGAAATTTTGAAAAGATCTGGGGCAAGCACTCCAGTCACTTCCTGCACGCCGTCAAATGAAAGATTGCTCCTAGCTCAGACGTCCAGGATGCTCTTGGCTGTGTAAGGGCTGGCGCAAATTACAAAGGGATATTCTAGCCTCTGAACTGGGCAGCTAAAGGTGTCTCTGAAGTATCATGGTTTTGTCTGGATAAGTCAGTTATGAAGCTGTGCAACTGTATCTCATTCTCTGTTTTTGCAGATGTTGTTACTAACAGGTCATTAGGTATCAGGCACAACAGTGGCTTCTGTGCGAACTAAGATGCTATGGAGGAAATGTTTACAGAAAATTGAGAAGGGAGATACGAACAGGTGAAATACCTGTGGTTTATGTAGAATGGACTAGTCTTTTGCAGATGTAACTTCCATAATTATCAGGAACTGGTCTTGCCTGAATTGTAGCATGGACTCATGTACTTATGAGTGTAGAGAAGATCTGAAATAGAACACAGTTAATTCAAAGCTTTGGAAAGCTGGGCTGACTTGGATGGTCTACAAGTTGGCAATATTCCCCTCCTGTCAAGCAGTTGTACAGTCTCCTGCTGGAGTTGGATGTAATAGGGGGCTTCTTAGCCTTTAGTCCATCATTAAATGGACTTTATTTCTCTAAGACAGACCTCTGTGTGTGAATATTCAGTTTCAATAAAATGAGAAGACATGGTAGAAGTATACCTGTAGCAGGTCAATGAAAAAAGACTAGTCTTTCAATGACAAGGTCACTTTAAGAATTAGTCCTACACTGCTGAAAAAAAAAAAGGCAACATTCAGATGAATGTTGGGCACAATCCCACTTTGTCTACACTGGATTTTTAGTGAGCAGTCTGAGAGCATAGAGTGGCTGACTTCTATGTATTGAGTAGTAACGCGCAAATTAACAAGTGAAAAACCCTATCCTATTTGGAGGATGTTCACACCACTTAAAATGTTACATACTTGCCATTTCAAGGAAACATAAAGTTGTTCTGTTTCAGACTTGCTGAATATGAACTGGTACAAATAGGTAGCTAAAAGTGAATTGAAACAAAATATCTTTATTCCTGGCATTATAGAAGCTTTTTTGATCTTTGTGATTGACCACTATATCTAAATCCCTTGGGACTAGTTGGTTTTGCTGCTAAGCAAAATAGAAGGTTTTGTAGCTGCTCTGTAGATCTTGCAAACTAGGTTTGCAGAGCTTATAGACAGTTATTGTACATGACTTTCTGTCGTCAACGGTTAAGGTGCTATTAAATTTAAAAGATATTAATGATGACTGCCTTATGAACTTAGGAGTTGTGCCAAACAATCTCTCCCAAAGAAGTCAGTATTTTAATCTTACTGCGAGGCTTGATAGTAAGCCTTTAAGTGCCCAGAACCCTCACTCTGATCTAACCTAGTAACCTAACAAATTCTATAAAGAAAAGAAATCAGAGTTGCTAAAATAAACTTGTATCTCAAAATCTATCCTTGAAATTCTCAGGAAGAAACTATTCTGTTGATAGTGTTGAAAATGGATTGGTAGAAAAGAGCATACTTTATAAAGAGCTGTAGCTTGGAAAGGAGGTCTACATGACAATAGTTAACAGTGAACTGAAGAACTTTTGTAAGTTACTTGTTTGCTTTTGTCAGTCCCACCCTGGCAGTTTAAAACAACATGACAATTGAAAGAATGCAAAGCTTGTATTATATGGCCTCAATAAGCACTATATGGCAAAACAATACATCCTCATCTATTTCTGCGATACAGTTTGAGCAGATTATACTTTATATTAACAATCCAAACTTACCTCTTTTTTGCTTGAAGAGTAAAAACTGTTGCTGCAAATTTTAAATTGCTTTTTGTATTACTAGTTACTTCCCATTTAAATCTTGCATTCTTGTGATAGAGCTGCAACTGTGGGTTGCAGAACAACTCATCTGCAAAATCCTGAGCTAGCAAAACTTAAAACTGTTGTCCAAGATCTAATTCAATGCTTACTTTCATTTGAAAATGAAATGCAAGTTTTACACTGCCGTAGCTTCAGGGTTGAGAGCTGAACCCACAGTAACTCTACAACACCCTTCTAACTTCAGGCCAAATGCAAGCCCACAGAATCCAAATGCTTTTAGGTTAAAATAGCATATTAATGGCCAAAGTAAAGCTCTTTAGACTTTTTGGATTGTCTCTACATTTGGCATGACTTATTTAACATGGGGGCAAATTCGAACTGGTTTTCTCTTGCAACGGTCTTGATTTTGTGGGGTTTTTTACTGCATTTTGCCATATGTCAAGTTACTTATAGCAAGTATAGCTATGCAAGTATAATCTACTTCATTCAGCCATGTAGGTAGGCCCTATATACGGAGTTAAAAGGCACATCTTAGTTATCACAGCGTGATTACCTAACAATAGTAGGTTTCTAGTATACCCGTCTCAGAATAAAGTAGTGGATCGTGCTAATTTGACCAAGTTCATTTCTTCCAGACCAGTCTTTTGTGACTCTAGCCACAAATGACTCCTATGTGAAAGGAGCACTGGTACTTGGTTCATCCTTGCAACAGTACAGAACAACAAGGAAGCTGACTGCACTCATAACTCCTCAGGTCTCAGATCTTATGAGGTAAGGTCACTTACATACTTCAAACCGCTACAGTTCCTGCTGATGTGCAGGTTGAGAAATGGAAGTTAAACTCCTTAACAGTAACCTTTCAAAACTGTGGAAGCTAAACAGCTAAGTTTAGCGGAATTCAACTTATCTATATTATCTGGAATTCTCTACATTCTTCAAACATGAAACTGTTTATTATGTTCAGGTGGGGTTTTGTTTTTTCTTTCTTCCCTATGATGAGTTAAACAAATAGTCTGTAGTTACTAAACTGTGACTTGATACTGATATTTCAGCTGGATCTTTGCTATTTCATCGTCCTACTTAGAATTGTCCAACAATATTGCCTGTGTGTTCATTAGCGTTGTCTGTTTGCTGTGAGTAGGAGAGTAGGGGGTTGGTATTTGTTTTGCAGAAGTATTCCTGATTGAGATAATATAACACAAGCTCTCTTGAAATCTAGCAGATATGTCAAATCAAATTTTATCACGAGAGAAGAAAACAAGCAGAACTAAATTATCAATAAGTACACCAAATCAGTAGCTCAAAGAGGCATCTAACAAGGTCACCACAGTACAACAAGTGAAATTAACAGGCGACTGCTTCCTAGAGCCTCTCTGGAATAATCTCAATATGGAAGGGACTGGGTTCTCTTTCCACATACACGAGGAAGGAAAAGAAACCCAAAGCAGTTAGTTTGTACTGTTTGTAAAACTACAGATGATAGGTCAAGATTCTCTACATGGGAAAGTTCGTCTGAAAAGACTTCCCAATATTTAGAGACAGTAGAGAGGTGGCTCAATAAAAAAAAAGGTCTAACTCTCTCTGCAGTCTCCTGGCAACTAAACGGCCATATCAACATTAAGATTTTACATCCATGCCAGCCTATTAGGTGAGTGTGCTCTTTTAAGATGAATCAGTCCTAAATGTGCTTCTGTGCTAGCGCAAGCCAGCTAGAACTGTGCCCTTAGACTGACATGTACCTACCTAATGGCGTAACTAGAACTTGCATTTCTCACCCTGTCTCCACTAACAGGGTATGCCTTAAGTTCAGAAGCAACTGTCCACACCAAACTGTCAGTATAAAGACAGCCTTGCAAGACAGTTCCAAAACTCATTTACAAGCTCTGTGGCTCAAATTGGTGAGCATTCAAGATACACTCTGTGTATCTTGATACCACTCTGTGGTAATTGCTGAGCCTGAAAGTTTGTCACTCTTTAGTGAACATGATACTGGTTCAAAACATTTCTGTAGCCACACCCATGACTAAGTCAGTTTCGAAAAAAACTTTTTGGGATAAAGAAAGTTTTAGCAACTGGGTCAAGTCAGATGTAACAAATCCAGAAAAGTAGTGTTGTAACTATTGCAGAAACTTCTGTTTCAGGTGTGTAGGATTCAGCTACTGTCCTGTTCAAGCTACTCCAACAGCTTCCCATTTCTTAATTGCCTGCTCAAAGTAGACTGTTAAGTTGCCAAAAATCAGAGACTGGATGAAAAAAAAGCTTTGTGGAAAGTATGCACTACATAGCCATGACTTACTGGACTTGGTAGCAATGCCCTGTTTGTGGAAGCAAAAAAACTTCTTTCTTCCCCAAAATGTGCCCATTACAAACTAGAAACTTTGAGGCAGACAGGGGAACTTCTGCATTCCAACATATGCAGTCAACTCTTACTGATGAAATAAGAAATGCTGCCAGATTCCCTGTTATACCACTTCTCTTTAAGGAATCTTTCATGTGGTCTGGTGCTGGAGTAACAATAGAACTAAATCTTGACTCTTCCCCAGGAGAGTGCTGGAAAAGGTCTTTGATGAAGTCATATTGGTAAACGTCTTGGATAGTGGGGATTCAGCACACTTGGCATTAATGAAAAGACCTGAGTTAGGTGTCACACTAACAAAGCTTCACTGCTGGGAACTGACACAGTTTACGAAGTGTGTTTTCATGGATGCAGACACAATGGTAAGTAGCTGTATCTCCTGGTACCTCTTAATGACCTTGTATGGGGGTTGTTGGATTTTTTTCTGTGGATTGTTTATGTTGGTTTGTTTGTTTTTAGTATCATAGTATCATAGTATAGATTGGGTTGGAAAAGACCTCCAAGATCATCAAGTCCAACCCCTGATCCAACTCCAATTACTATATCATGGCACTAAGAGCCACGTCCAATCTCTTTTTAAAAACCTCCAGGGATGGTGAATCCACCACCTCTCTGGGTAGGCCGTTCCAATGCCTGATAACCCTCTCTGTAAAGAATTTCTTCCTAACATCTAACCTAAACCTCCCCTGGCAGAGCTTGAGCCCATGTCCCCTTGTCCTATTGTTGGTTGCCTGGGAGAAGAGACCAACCCCCACCTGGCTATAACCTCCCTTCAGGTAGTTGAAGAGAGTGATGAGGTCGCCTCTAAGCCTTCTCTTCTCCAGACTGAACAACCCCAGCTCTCTCAGCCTCTCCTCATAGGACTTGTGCTCCAGTCCCTTCACCAGCCTCGTTGCTCTTCTTTGGACCCGCTCCAGCACCTCAATATCCTTCCTGAACTGAGGGGCCCAGAGCTGAACAAAGAGTAGGGGTAATAGAAGCCTTTTACTAGTTGGACTAGTAACTGTAAGAATGTGTGTGCCTTTTAATCTAAATTAATTGTAATGAAGTCTGTGGGGACTATTTCCAAAAAGTATTGTCTTCCACAGGACAAGAGCATTGATATGAGAACTTTAAGACATGAAAGTTGATGTCATAATCCATGAAAACACGATACCATGATTCCCAACGTAAAAACACTTTTTTTTTTTTTTACCCCTTTACAATTAGGTTTTGTCAAATATCGATGAGCTTTTTGAGAGAGAGGAGCTGTCTGCAGCACCAGATCCAGGCTGGCCTGACTGTTTTAATTCAGGAGTTTTTGTTTACCGACCTTCCATTGAAACATACAATCAGCTGTTACAGTTTGCCACAGAGAAAGGCAGCTTTGATGGTATGTATTAATTTGTATTTTAATCTAAGTTAGACCAAAATGGTAACAGTAGTTGGGATGGCTCAGTAACTACATACATGTCATGAGGACTCTGTATGACAGAATTCTCAGTTCAGTGTAACTACACAAAAATTGCATCCTTCTCGGAAATAGAGGCTATCATTACAATATGCAGTGAAATTACTTTTTTCAGACTTCATGAAATAAAAACCCTGAGTTTGGCATCCAAACTAGCAGCTGTAAGCATTAACAGTGTAGAGTCATATAACAAGAAATCTTAAGAGGCAGCAAGCACAGTGTATGCAGTAGCAAATGAAACTGCAGTACCATGCTTCATGCATTCCTAGCACTCAAGGCTTGAATGTTCTACGCCAACTCAAGTTGATACAGAAAAAATAGCACTGGTCAACTTGAGCACAGCTTCAGAGAATCAAACATTTGAAGATACAACTCTCTCTTCATATGCTATGTGATGGCTTCCTGTCATTACAGGGCGGTGGCTGTCTCTTTCCCAATATCAAGTGCATATAGCCTTGGCTGCTTCCCACTATAGGTCACTTGAGATTGGCCACTGTACCAGATTTAAGCTTGAGAAGCCAAGTTCTGCTGTTCTGTAAGTCTACTAAATCTATTACCATTGCAGTAAAAGCACATGTTGCTTGGAGACTGCTATAGTTAAAGGCTTCTGAGTATCGCTGTCTCCTGTCACTATAACTACAACAAAACAAAGTCTAACTTAACAAGCTACAGAAAAGTACATAAACAAGACCATAAAATAATGGAGCTATTGGATAGAAGGTAATTAGCCAGCCTGTTGACTTAGCTTGCAGTACTTTTCAAAAAGTAAAAATTCACTAGTCACTCCTAGTCTGCAGAATAATCCCTGTTACTGTGTGGACTCTTGTATGTGGTTTTCTAAAGAACATTAGTAACAGCTGGATGCTTAATGCTACCATAGGAATAGACTCTAGTGAAAATGAGTATTGCCATGTAGTGAAGGGTCTGTACCTTGCTACTGACAAAGCAGCAGTTGGTAGCTTTGTGAGCACTCTCAGATGTTGGGTGCAAATTGATCACCAGCTGTGGCAAAATCTATAGCATAGTTCTGAATTGTTACATTAAAAACAAAGCAAAATAAAAAATGCAAAACAAAACACACACAAAAAAAAAAAAACAAACCAAAAAAACCCTACGAAAAGACCCCCTCTTCCCCCCCACCCCAAGAAAACCCCAACACATCCAAAAGCCAGCCAACCAAAAAAAAAACAAACAAACACACATCTTTGTACAAACTTACTGCTGAGTAGCTCCAGACCATCTGAGACTTGGTGGTTGTCTTCTCCAAGCTCTGTGCTTGACTGCTAGCAGACCCCATCTTCTAGTTTGAAGGCCCCTGTCCTTTAAAAGAATAGAACTGCTTCCACAATATACTCTCCGACTTGAAAGCTAAAGCCACACAATGGTGAAACTGCTTCAGTGTTCTAAATGCAAAATAATTATTGCAGCACTTAACAGCAAAAATAGTGGGTTAATGGTTTAGATATCGAATTTCTAGAATGTAATTTGTATTTCAGCTTTAAAATTTACTTAGTTTTTATTAAATGATAGCACTGATCTGAGTAATGAGACCACGGAGACTTAGGTCATCTGTATAAGCTACTGCTGAGCTCAGGAACTTGGTGGGGGAGAAAGGGGATTGAAACTTAAATTGACCTAGACGGTAATAAAAGGTTCTACGAAACTTTTAATAAGAGAAAAACCTGTTAAGGGTCACTGCTTTTAATAGGACATAGGGACACAAACTTAACAAGCTACCAAGCTACGTGTTAGTTGAAGTCAAGCTGCAAGTGCCTCATCTGCAGTAGTAGTAAGTAGGGAATGCAGGACTTTCCAGAGTATTTCATGTTTATAACAGCAGACAGGAGCCTTCTATGTAATGCTGTTGTCCAGAAATGGCAGAATCATAGATACTTAAGTAGACAACCACTTTGTCTACTTGAACTTCACCTTTCTAGATATAAAGCAATGTCATGCAATAACTCTAGATACCATCTAAAAGTAGTGGAAGGGAAAGAAAAATTTGGTTTTAAAAGAAATCTGGTAGTACTGATACTTTAAGAACGTTGCTATTGCTTTGATAATCCTCTGGCTCTTTAGCCTGGGATCCAAAATAATTGCTTTTACAGTCTTGCTGTATTGTATCTTTGTATTTACATATTGTATCTGTAAATATGTAGTTAATACAAGTACTGCCTGATTCTTTTACCTTATGTCTAAGATCCAGTTTATAGAACACAACTACTGTTGAAGTCTGGACTAGGACAGCTAAATTCTGCTTTCATTGTCTGCTTTAGCACAAATGCATGCAATCTGAAAAAAAAAAAAAAAGAGTATGTAAAACAATCTGAGTGAGAGGAAGTCCTGTAGAGTGTAAGTTAAATACACTGCTGCTGCCCCTTCAGTTCTCTTGTGATGGACACAACTTCTTTCAAAAGTGCTTTCCTTCCATTAGGGGTTGAGAAGCAAGTCAGAGATTTGAAATTACTGCACTGAGTCCTCTGGCAGTTTCTCACTCTGCAATCTGCATGTATGCTGACAGCTGTAACTGGATACTTGGAATTTATATTTGTCAGTGTACTGTCTGTACATCTAAGTTTATGCCCAGCGTCTAGATACTTCAGTTGCAAAACGCAAATTCTGCTCAAGTAGCACTGATGGCGTAAATCTTAATACTGCCCTAACTCTAATCACAGGCAAATGAAACCCCTTTTCTGAGTCAGCAGAGACTGAGTGCTTGAGAAAATTAAAGATTAAAATAAAACTTTGTCTCTACTAACTAAGCTGTTTATGTACTCTTTAGTAATGCTTCTTGTGAATGCAGTTACAGGTGAAAGGAATACAGCAAATGAAAGTTGAGGGACTCCTTTCAATTTCCTTGATAAGGGGAATTATTACCACTTAAAAACTAATTATATTCATTGCAATAAAGAATGAAAAGTATAAATAAATAGGGTTTTACTTCTCATAGCTGCTTATAAACTATTCTGCTGTGGCCTGGAAGCTTTATTTTATTTTATTTTTGGTTTTTTTTAGTTATTCTACTACTGTGATACCAAACAACTTTTGACTGACTTAACCTCATTACAACCTCTACTTGCAAACTTAGGTAGCCCCTCCCAACACAGATATTATCCTCACTTAGCAGTTAGTCAGCATCTTTTTAGTACAGAACTAGGAACACCTCTTGTCTGTTATGGGATTTGATGAAGTTGTACTAGAGTTGTCACCAAGACTGAATGTGCCTTTTTTTTTATCAGATTGCTGTGGAGGTAGATGCATCTGGGACTGCAGGTCTAACAGGCCACTGATACCCTAACTCTGGCAGTGAGATGTTGGTTATGCATCTGTAAGCATAAGTAATAAAACTAATTATTGCCACTTGATCTTCTGAGCTACAGCTTTCCCGAAGCTAAACAGTACTCAGTTGTCCTGGTCTGTTTTGTTTTTTCTGCCTTATACAGCTTGAACTTCAGCTGTAAAAGAAACTGAATGGCAGAGTTTGTAAGCAGCTTGCTATCTTTTAGCAAAAGTAACCCCACACAGACTATCTGTTTCATTCTCTACATTTTTTTTGATTTTCAAAGGCTGCAAGGTTTACAGGGTTGTTCACAAATAGAAATTTAGTGCTCTGTGCCAAACTTCTACTGGACATGACAACTGCATTACCAACTCTTACTTACTGAAGTGACTGAAAAAGATCCTCAAATAGCTATCTGATGCTTGTAGCCTATTAATGCTTTCTCTTTTAGGTGCAGATCAGGGGTTATTAAACACCTTCTTCAGCAGCTGGGCAACAACAGACATGAGCAAACATCTACCATTTATTTATAATTTGAGCAGCACTTCTGTATATTCCTACCTTCCAGCATTTAAAGCGTAAGTTCAAATTTTTTAGAAGATTTTAGAGCTTACATAAACTAATTTCTTGTAACAGAATGAACAGGCATGATGTGAGCTTACAGAGGTTGTCTAGAAGGAGACTGTCATTGTCACTGAATATATAGTAGTTTCTTCACTTAAAAAACAACAACTTGAATTAATGTAAATCAAATGAGTCACCTCAAGATAAATGCAGAGAGAGCTGTATCTGTAGCTTAAACCACTCATCCCTGGTAGTAACACCAAAATTTAGAGTAAGTACATTTGACAGGTCACTTGCAAAAGGAAGAACCACTCCTCCAGTATGGGATACAGTCTAGTACAGTTCTAACCAATGGCAGTAGACTCTTGAATCAACTTGAGCTGGTATCATTCCCACTTAGGTAACTTGTCCTTTTCTCACTCAAGTTACTTAGGGTATTTAATAACCAGTAGTTAAAGTTCATCTAATCAGCCTATACCATTAAAATAAATGTGGTGAGCAAAGACTTGTATAAAACTAGAATTCTCTCCCAACAGTCTTTCTTGACCTCTGTCAGTTTTTTAAGTAACAGCACTATGGAACAAAGTCTACTGCCAGCCACATACCATTACATGTTTCCTCTGTGAGGAAAACTGTATCCTCCCTAGCTAGCAGTATTCCATTTGGCATGTGCATAAACTGTATGTCAGAGGCAGGGTCAAAGTGTTATAATAACACGGGAGGAAGAGGGGGGGAAGCAAGGGAAGCTGAAATGTTACACAGAAACTCTTTATCTATTAAGAGCTGCAGAAGCTGGGGGCAAGGGGGACGGAAAGTACCAATTGCATAAAAACAATCTGATCTCTGAATGACATCAGTTTACTAGTGTCTAAAGCAGCGGCTAGCATAAGCAGGACTGTTGCTGGCTCAAGATCAAACTATGTCTTGTGATCAGAATACCATCTGGAATCTTGTCATGCTAAAAGTGGAACACTTATTTAAAGAAATATATGCAAGCCTCAGAATGACTAAGTAGCTGGATAGCATTTGATAAGCTAACATCTATTGTAAAGTACGTCCTCTTTCCATGGCTGGCTTGTTAGTCACACGACCTTAATTGTACAAATTACTTTGTTGCCACAAAACACTACTTGGATCTGGGGGCTCCTGACAAAAATTCTGTTTAACTAATTGAATCAGTTGCCTAACAGAACTCATCAGACCTTCAAAAGTAGAATGCTGGAAGTGCAGCCCTTGTAAGTAAAATTCCCCGTTCAATAGGTGGAATAATTTCCCTTGGTTAGATCAGCAGCTACGCTCTTGATAATCAGCAGTTAGAATATACTGAAATTTAAACCTACTGACATCAATAGCTAAGGTTTTTGCAGCTTTGTACAGCGAGACTAGATTTCACAGCAGCCTCAGTAATCCTTTTTCCAAAGGAAAATGCCAATTCATGACAAATGCTCTCTAACTTCAAAACATTGATGAAGGACTTTTCTGGGAGATGGGGAAAGACAGATTAGTTGCTGAGGCCAGTGTGGACATAAAGCTTCCTAACAGTTGAACTTAAATGTCAAAGTATTGCAGATCCAGAAGGTATCTAGAAAGCAGATACTGAAAACATCAGAGAAGCTTGGCATCTGTCAACTGTTGTTCTGGCTGTAAGTGTACAGAATATCAAGAGTACACTTATCCATTTGCAGCAAGTGTAGCATAACACTTCTTAGGCATTCTCCTGCTTAAATAGCCTAGATTTTTGAACAATAACGAGTCTCTTCAGAACAGCGGCAGCCTAAGATGAAAACTCAGGTTGTTTAGTACTGTGACAGCTAATAAAACTAATGTAGTCCTCTTATGCCAAATCTTGACATATGGAATTCAAAGTTAAAGCCCAGTAACTGATCTCTTGAAGACACTTTTTTTTTTTCTTGCAGTTAGTGCAAATACTTGGCAATTTCATATTCATGTAGGTCTGCATTCTGCAGTAAGATCAGTTGTGTTCAAAACATTGAATGTGAATATTGAAATATAGTCAAGGATCTTACAATAGTGTGGAACCCCCCTCCCGCCCCAAAGCATACTGCCTTTGAATATTCTACAGCTTTTGAAACACACCTGTATTTTCTCCATATGTAACACTCCTTAAACGCTTGAGTCCTGGTCAAGATGACCAGTGTGTGCTTAGACAAACTGCTCCGGAGTTATTATCCATTCCAGTCATATTACGCTGAGAAGAAATTGTAACATGATACAAACTGAACTAGGCAAGACAGTCACTGTTACTCGAGAGACTGGTATTGCTTGTTCACAAAACTGACTCAAGCTGAAATCTGGTTCTGGAACTGTAGAAGAATGAAATGATTGTCGTCTCTGCTACTGTTAAGTTCTTCACTTGAGACGAGGCACACTTCATCTAAACATTTGGGACAAAGCTAGAAGTCCACATTGAAAACTGAGTTAAAATGGTTTTTAAAAGAAACAAAACCAACCCACCACCAAACCCACCCATGGCTAAACTAAGGTTATTTAGGAAATAACAGTTGTCTAGCAGGACCCTGCTGCACCAAGATCAGGAGTCCTTTGAAATGCCTGGGTTATACAAAGCTATCATTTTGCAGGGTCATGGTCTTCCTGCAGCAGGACCTTCCAATGATGCATTTCTACAGTGCTGTAAACTGAAAGGGTAACTCAGCACTGACCCTTCTCTACATAATGCTTGTAATACCTAACTCTCTGGCTTGCTGACTTTGGAGTAGAATCTTTTTCACTTTTAAAACCAGTTCCGATTGCAACGGCTGCTTGAGACTGCTCTCTCCTGAGCTATGGACACCACTCTAAAGACTTGAGTTGGCTGTAAGTATTTAAATAGTCCAG